TGGGACATTTTTACGCATACATATCCGTACTTTCCAAGTCCGATCAGGCGAAGAACTTTTTTTTCTCAATTATTTAGAACGTAAAAAGTTGGATCTCGAGTTTTGGTCAAACGTAGAAAACTACAGTCTTCTGCGCGATACACGCCTGATTCACGGCACGACAATACACATCACGAGCACAGCAATGAAATAGAAATCGGAACCGGAAAGCGGAGGAAAGAGTCGGAAGCGATAGCTCATTATGCTAGATTATTGTGATTCAGGCTCGATGAGAGCAGTGCGCAAAATCTCCAATCCCACGCCCGTCATGCGCGATGGGACTTCAATTTTCCTGCGTTCTCGTCTATTGAAGAGCAAAACCGGAAAATTCCGAAGGCGCCGTCATTCGGTTTCCCTTTTCGTTCCTTTTCAGGGTTTAGGAGACCGCGGAAGAGCAAGTTTCGGAGTTCACACGGTTGTGCAGGTGATGCACCTGCCGCTAACGTTTCCTGTGAGAAACTCGTTACCTGTGAGACCCTTAAAAGCCGTTACCTGCGTGACCCTTAAAATCCATCACCCTTAATTACCCAACACGTAACTCGATATGTATATAAACGTACGCATAATTTTCATTGTCTTGGACCGCGCGGAAACGCGCGCAATTTTTTATCTCTATATACTAAAAGTTGCTAAAAAAAGAAAAAAATTTCCTTCTTCATGAATTTACCGCAGAAGCAATTTCCGTTTCATGAGAGTCTCACTTTTCGGAGCGTTTCATTCACGATGGCGAGAAACTCGGGTCGGTTTCCGTCTTTACATCAGTGATACTTTCTCGCTTCGCGTTCTTTCCATGGTTTCGCTTCGACATTTTTCTCCTACCGGTTCGGGGAACAAAATATTTTCCGCGATCCGGATTGCTCGAGACATTTTTTGCTCACTTTTAGAAAGACTGGTTGAACGACAGCGAATGCATGTGTATGCGGGAAAACTCTCTTTCTCTCTCTCTCTCTCTCTCTCTCTCTCTCTCTCTCTCTCTCTCTCTCTCTCTCTCTCTCTCTCTCTGTCTCTCTTTCTCCTCCCCCTCTACCTGACATTTTCCATTTCTATGCTCTTTCGTTCCGCAATTTTAGTCGCCGAGGCATCACGTGAGGATGCACAAAGTGCAAACGCCATAAAATTTAATGCCACTTATTATTATACATTCTGTCTTCTTGCAACACTTGCATTACGTTAACGAAGAGTATATTTTAAGTGTACTTGGTCCGAAGGTTAACTCGACGAAAATAAAACAATAATATTACGTTTCAATTTAGAACGTCTCGTCAGAATCCAGCATGCGGCTTAGCTTCATAATATGATTTTAAGTCTTTTAAAATTCTTTTTTAAACCAATAATTTTCTGAGCCGCAAGCAATGTTTCTTACACGAAGAAGATGAAAAAACTATTTTGAAATTCGTATCGCTCCGTAGAAATTTAATTAGGAGCTACATCTCCGTTTATCTCCTTGCCATCATCCTGCGCCAGAATCATAATTATCATTCATCCCTAACAAGTAATTATAATTAATTTCTTGGCTTCGAAAAATTACCATTATAATTCCGTAAAAGAGTAACTTCCTCATTTGAGTAATAATGTGCAATAAATTAACAATATCCTCACCGAAGAAGTATGCACATTTTTATGAGATGTACATTTCTAGCAAATGAACTATTAATACGGGATAGGAACGCTTACCTTGCAGAATGGCGCACGTAAAACCTGGAAAATATATTATGAAACACGCTTTCTATAGCCATGGCATGTAGTTCCTGCCGTTTGTTGAGCATTCGTTCAAGGCATTCTTGAAAGGTCTCAAAGAGTGACTTTGTGCGAGATGAAAATTTGTCTGTGGAACGTTTGGAAAATTCTCCAATTTTACTCTACAGCTGTGTGCGTGCGTGCGTGCGTGCGTGCGTGCGTGTGTGTGTGTATGTGTGTGTGTGTGTATGTGTGTGTGTGTGTGTGTGTGTGTGTGTGTGTGTGTGTGTGTGTGTGTGTGTGTGTGTGTATGTGTGAAGTAGACGGAAGAACGAAGGGCATAAAGATAAAGGGAATTTGGGCCAACGTGGCAGAAAGAGATAATGAACACCGGCGGTCTCGCATTAGCAATTCAAACCGCTTCCGGTGCTTTCGTGCTAATGCGAGGAGGTACCACCTACGGTAAATGCGAGTTACTTGAACTCGGAATCACTCGAAAGAAATCCGAATACCTCTCACTCGACTTCCCTTTTACCGCATCATTCTCCGTGATGCCTCCGCCAAATGATATTAAAAAGAAAAAGAAATAGCAGGATGTTACATTACACTCTTCATCGCGGAGACTTCTTCCACGAGACGTGTGTGACAGACACAATGGTGCTACGCGACTAATTAAACCGGTTTCCTATGGGTGGCTGCCACTTGATATTTTCACTCCGCCGATGATTTCTTCCCGCGAGTTAATGTTCTCATGTCATACTGAGTCGCGTATTTTTACGATAGACCGTACTCGAAACGAGCGACGAGGTGCGCAGTGTGCGTGGCGCACGTTGCGTCGCATACCTCCGTGCCGATCTTTTGACATCATCCTGCAGACTGTAGCTGCCACGAAGCGACATTTGTTCGTGTTTTTACCGCCACTCGAGGAACACAGCACGCACTCGCTCGCACGATCACGTAACGCGGGTTTTCTTGCTGTTACATAACCCGCGATGGAATTTGAAATTGCGTGCATGCTTTATCAATGACCGCTTACGCGACCTCGACTAATAATCACCCTAATCAAGTGTAATGCCGATATGCGACATGGAGCGAATTGCACGTGTAACTGCCAATAGTCGCAAAGTGAAAGTAAAGATGGAATGAAAGATTCTATGCAGCGCGATTGCACAGGAAGGCATGAGCTTCAAATTACCGTCGCTATCGAGTGATACAGATTGTTTTCACAATTATCGCTATCCGGCCGAGCACGTCTTATCTGTGGCAAACATTGGTAACATTATTGAACGTATACGTGTTAACACTGGAGAGACCGAGGTAGCCAATTTGGCTCCTCACAAAATGTAAACTGCTATAACTTTTCTCAACTTTGCCTCCGCGTGATATTCTTTTGTGACTTTTCATCATTTCTCATGTGCTTAAGTTTGGTAGAAAACTTTTTCAATTATATAAGATGGTCGAATTTTTATTTAATTATCTGCCTAGAAGAACCGTTGGAGCCAATTTCCCTTATATCTGATATTGCATTTTCATATGTTTTACAGGTTTATTTTACAAGTTTTATGACTTTAAATAGATAAATAAATATTTTTATGTGTATCTATCTATTTGTTCGCTTGAAAAACAATTATATACATACATATGTACACGTGGATATACATACATATATGCATGTGTATAGCATCTCGCCGTTGGCTAGTTCATACTTTTTATAATATTTTGGCTTTTGCTGCTATAAATGCATGGATTATATACAAAGAAGTTACATGTAAAAAAATATCAAGAAGAATCTTTTTACAAAATCTCGCGGAAGAGTTGAATGCACCATATGTTGTCCAAAGACGAAAGTCCCAAAATTTTGATTCAACCGGAGAAGAAACTGAATCCGACGATGCTTCGGGCAAACGACCATTTTGTCAAATGAAAAAAAAAAAAACTGCAAAAAAATCATAAAGTTGGAAAATGTCGTTCGTGTAAAAAATTGTGTGTGATAAATGTACAAAGAAAATTATGTACAAATGCGTTTCCTGTAGTACATAACGGTGTTGTATTTCACTTTCAACAAGACTAAAACGAATTTAATGTAATATAACTAACAGTTCTTTTTTTGTTCAATAAATTAACGATATTATTGTTAAAACGTTAAATTTCACAATTACCTATACGTTTCGTTTCTTTCTGTTTGTTATTTACGAAAAGATATGCTTGGAGCCAAATTGACTCCTACGGTTCTTCTAGGGGAGTCGTCAAATCCGGTCCTTCTGATGTTAAGGATTCGCTTCTGCGACATTGTCTTGACTCGCGCGAGTATTTTGATCCGCGTTATTGATCGTATATCCAACTCTCTCTCTCCCCCTCTCCCCTTCCGAGGAAAAAAATTGGCGTCGTCATAGACGCACTTGATCCGCGCCATCAAGGTGAAATCTTTAACGACCGTATTGAGAAAAACTGAGCGTTCCCAGTAACAACTCTTTTGCACCTAGCCATCGATCTGTCGGACGGACGGGCGAACGTCCGTCACGCTGAACAATCCGCTTCTCGAATCGCGTGCGGCGACGATGCATGCAGGTGCATCTGTCGGACGTGCACAGCGCATGTTATGAGAAATCCGATCTCTCCGCTTGCACAAGACGCTCGGGACGGATTTCTCCCTCCCTCTCCTTCCCTCTGTCTTTCTATGTCCCCCTCCACCCCCCGCGCAAAAAAACTCCGCTGTTCCGCGGCCGTAATGATTCACTTAGAATAGGCGCGATCAAGGTTCTTGGGATAAAACACACGGAGGAGGAACGTTATTTTCAGCCACGGCTCTGTGCGTCTCGGTAGAATTACAACAAGGCAATGAGGATCGCACCAATCCAAAGCACGCATCCAAAATGGTCTCCTCTGTGAAAATTATGACGACGGGAGAATTTCAGAAACGAAAAGAAGGCGCCCGCGAATATGCTCGCGACGAAAATCGAGCCAATGTGGTGTAATCTTCGAGGACGGCGAGTGCGGCGTCGGTAATGGATCGCTAATTCCGACGTTCACTAACGGCGGAAAAGGGGAGAGATCAAGGGAGAAGAAAAAGAGACGAAGTGTGTGTGTGCAGAAGGCATTGGCCAGCACATATGACCACTCACTGGAAACGTAATTTACACTAGGCGTTGCCTGCGGTTGCCTCGGTTACGGCTTATGAAGTACCTCATGCCGTTATAATTCCTACACTGATCGTTAATTGGTCGTGGACGAGCGCGCGCGGTTCGAGACCACCTCCGGCGAGGACGAGCGGACGTTTTACTCACCAGTTTGATGTATCTGCCGATCATCTCTGCCAACTGCGGGGCGCGATTGGTGTGCAGAGGCAGCCTGACTCCCGACGCGATCTGCAATACGCACACGCCCGCCCTGGAGGAATTCACGGAGACGATGTCCTCCAGCGGCAGGGTCTCCAGGATTATTAGATCCCCGTTGGATGTGCGTTTGATCAGTCGGAGTCCGTGATGCGACACCGCCACGTGCTGCGTTTCTGGGTGTTGCGGGCCGATCTGTGGAGGAATTAGTGAGATTCGAATGAGGCGGAAGTAAAATAATGTCGGCGCCATTGTTCTCACTCGATCGAGATGCCAGAGAATCGGAACAATTTTAGGTCTATTTCGAGATCGGTTTCGGAAATTTTGATTTGGGATCGATCAACTGGTCACGCTCGGACGTTTACAATACCGTGAGCTATTTCTGTTTACAAACTTGGTTTTAGTCACCGATTTTATAATATTAGACAGCTTTTTTATTACTTATTATTCTTGATTACCAAATCTGCCGATCGTAAAGTCGATCGCATGAATCAACTGATCAATCGGAACGTGTTAGTTTGAAGACTACCAACTTTATAACTGAAACTAAAACTAATGTTTCCGAAACAAATTTCTTGCACGATTAGCCGGAACGTTAAGCGGGGTGTAAAAGTGAACTTACCGACACGGGAAATATCCTGGCAAAGTACAACGGCCACTGCTTCGCCATGTCCACAATGTTCTTCTTGATTGTGATCTTATGTTGCGTGCTTTGGAGATTGTCCAGCGTAACACCGTAGTTATCCAACATCTTCAACATGTTTTGTCGATCTTCCTTGGTAATCCGTATACTGGAGGTCGCCAATACATCGTACGCGACTTGGCAAAACACCAAGTGCAACGCCAAAGGACTGTTCAATGTTTCATTAGGTGCAAACACCTCCTTCTTCACCCTCAACGTCCACGTGACTCTGTTGTACGTGAAATGCGCGTTCGAAGTCTGCGGGTAGAGTTTAGTGTTCACTACTTCCTGGACTTTCTCGATCTCCGGCTTATCAGCAGGTGGTAACACCGGCTTGAGAAATTCCGGCCACTCTTCGATCTCAATTCTTTCCATCTTGTCGGTACGGTGGGTCGAGGCCACGCTCGATCGTCTGTCCGCTTCCCGATCTAGCTTCTTGAAGCTTTGTCGCGCGACAGTAAAGGATTCCCTCGTATTCGGGACGACACCAAAGTCTCGCGGCGACGGCATGCCGAAGCTGTCTCGTGATTTGGGAGACACATCTCGGGTCATGCTGAAGGGATCGCGTTTACCATTTGAGCCATCGAACGCGTATTTGGAATCGAAGATTTCGGAATTCAAGTCGCGACGCGAATCGAAGTCGGAATTACGATCGCGCGTCGAGCTCGCTAGGTCGGTACTGTCCTTCCCGTAGAAGTCCTTAGACTTAGCGTCCTGAGCGCGAGCTTTCTCGAAGTCGCTTCGGTAATCATGGTTGTCGCGCAGATGCTGCTGCGAAGCAAAGATATCGCGGCTTTGGCTGAACATTTGGTTCTTCGGAAAGTGATCGAAAGCCTCGGAGTCAGGGGACGTACGGAAGGAATCACGGCTTTTCGGCTCGATCGGCGTTGGTGGTGATCGCGGCTGAGGCACACCGGATTGACTGCAAACGAGTGAACTGTTTTCAAACAAGGGAAAAAGTTTCCTCTCTTTTTATGTGCAAACACATGTGCTTTCCAGTACAAATTAAACCGATTGACATCACTACCTGTTGCTGTAAACACTTCCACCTCTTGGACTCGGAGGTTGTGGCGGAGTAACGGGTGGTGGAGGCGGTACAGGTCGTTCCATTCTCTCGATTTGTGTCCTCACAACCTGAGCTTGTGTCATCATATCAGTTGTGCCTTTGGAAGTGACGCTTTGGGTGTCGTCGACAGTAGAAGAATAATCGTCCCATCTACCACCTGGAGAGAATATTTCGTTTCTTTCAATATTTGGAATCCTCGCGGTCTTTTAGTGAGCGAGCAAAAATCCAATTACCCAATTGCTGCTCTAACAGGAGCTTTCTGTTATCCTCTAAGCGTTTAACCTTCCCGTCCTCTCGCGGAAGAGCTGGCTTCTCAGCCGTCTTCGTGGATCTCACACTATGATTTGCTGTCACCTTTTCCAATCTTTGCCTCATCTCCGAGCTGAGCTTCAATTTGCCTATGCTTCCCGGTGATGGCCTCTGTGCACCTACTTCCAAGGCCGATCTACGAAGAAATTTAACTATTTGAATCAACACGTTCTTTCAAAAGCAATATGAGTGTATGAGCATGAAGAAAAGTCTAATATCTGTTACTTTGATTTCTTCTTCTTCTTTTCTCCTTCTTCCTTGTATCCGTTTTCATGCTTGGTCGTACTCGCTGGTGGATGAGCGACATCGTTGGTAACTATATTCTCGATCTCGAATTCTTCCCATTCGACGCCGCCCTCTGTCGCTGGTTCGCCTTCCCCTTGATCGTATTCCTGATATTGCGGAGTTATCTTACGCTGTTGTTGCTGCTGACGCATTTTGAATTCTATAAAACTGTCTTGTCCTTGATTCTCATTAGAGTCGCTGGGCGGCGGCCACCTAAACAATTTCAAAATAATCGAACAATCGAAAAATTAAGACTTGATTGTAAAAAAACTAGAGAATCTAATAGACTCCAAATGTTTAAGGAATCTTGAAGAAATTCACGCTATTAATTTGACGGAGCTTGGATTTACCTCCATTTTCCAATGCGCACAGTTTTCGCCCTTCCGTACGGATCGAGGAACGGCCTGGACTCCGAAGGATCGTGAGATTCTAAAGGCGGAGGCATCGGTGGGGGTGGTGGGACACCTTTGTTGTTGCTTGAACTGGAGAAATTGCTGTCCACGCTGCTTTTCCTGTTCTTCAGCTCGCTGAGCACGTTAGTAAAGTTGCTCTGCACGTTACTCTTACTTGAGCTGGTTCTCTTGAGTTCCGTTTGTCCCGAGGACGTCTTTCTGTCCGTTGTCTTGCGATCCACACTGATCTTCCGTGCATAATCAACGCTCGTCTTCCGTGTAGCCTCGGAATTCTTTCTAAGTGGACTTTGGGATCTGTGAATTTGCGCCTTCACCGTCATTGTTTCTTGTCGTTGACTCGTTGGCGTGGATTGCAATGGTGTCCCCCTTTTCTCTGTCGACCATAATTCACCATCATCGGGTTCTCTAAATGAGACCTAATCGAAGAAAGATCGGTGATGAGGTCTGTGTTCAAAAATGCTTCCGACTAAAGGTCATTTGCAGTGATAATTGCACGCGGGTCGACTCGAGATTACAACGTTTACTGGGTAGGGCTATGATGATCCGGTGAATGAGACATTGTTCTGGTTAGCCCTAACACACCGAACATCTCTCCCGCGGATTCTGCTAGCCGATATGTACACGATACTTCTGTAGTCGTAGTTGGGAAGCCGCGATAGAGAGCGTAGGTTAGTTAAAATCGGTAGATACCTTGGAGTAGCGTCCGATAGAATCATTGGGCCCCGTTTGGGCACCGATTGGGGGGGCTGGGGGGACAAGATTCATGCTTGAGGGGCCAGCGGGTAACACCGTGCTCTGGAAACACACACCCGTGCCGCGACGCGGCTCAGAAACCCATAGGATCGTCCAGAACCATATTTCCATAGTTAAGAGTTAGCTTTCATTAAACGCGGACATTAACCGTCAATTACGGATCACCGAGTTAATGACAGTTAAGTGATCGTGAAACGTGACAATGAGAGCCGCGACGACAGCGGTGAACCTTTTTGTGATAGTCCTTGACATGCAATGTTCGCACCTTTGATCTTCTTATCGTGGTTCAATCCCGAGGAATTTGTGAATTATTCAATGAGCGATTCAATCAGGCACCCAACAAATTTTTCCGACGGATTGTACATCCAAAAGATTCAAATTCTTCTGGATAACTGTGTTGGGGCTGACGAAACTAATCCAATCAATTCGAAGCACGATAAACAGACCAATCTACTGCGGGTCAATTACGTAAACCTGGGATATTGGACTTTGTACAGATTTCTCTCTTATCGCTCTTCTTATTAATTTCTCACCGGTTGCTGTGTTGAATTCTGCGGGCTCTGGACCAACAACTGTTGCAGAGCTTGATTCTGTGCCAATAGCTGCTGCTGTATTTGAATGTTTTGCGCCATTGCGCTCTGCAGGAAAGCTCGCTGGAGGTTCTGCTGGTACGCCATCATGTCGTTGTTTTGGCTGGGCGGTGAATTGGGATATTGTGGCAGACTGAGACCCTGCATGCTGTAGATCGGGATAGGCATGAAGCCTGCGCCCATGCTCATGCTGGTATTCTGAGTGGCTGGGACTTGTTGAGCAGGACTGAACATCGGCATCATCATGGGTGGAGACATCATACTCTGAGCGATAGGACTGAAGTTGAAGGCTGCATTTTGATTGGGAATGTCCATATTGCCGCCTCCCTTGATTCTCTTCGATAATTCAGCCGCGCTGATGTCTTCAGCACTATCGCCTGCCATCATACTTTCGACGAAGTCATCGGTAGTAGCTGGTTCGATAGTTCGACGATCGATTTCCTGCACATCCTCAAGCACTATTTGGCTGCCAGACGGTCTAGTGTCCCGTGAACCTTTTATCGAAGCGGCCAAACTGCGGGCATCCGACAGTTCGTCAAGATTACCGTCTAGAACTGGCATAAAAAGCTCGTCCAGAAACTGGTCCACATCGGAAGCTTGACTGGGCACTCTAACGCGGCGTACGTGTGATGCCAAAGACGGTGCCTCGCTGGTGTCGGACATGGCTGATGATTTCACACCATATTCACTCTTTTCGATGTACGCGCGACTAGACTGGCTTCCCGGCAGTGCACGTTTGCCTGAAAGCAAGAGAAGTGATCGATCTGCACGAAGGTGATACGGAAAAATTTAGTTGCGTAATCACCGCGACTTTCACTGCCGCGGAAATTCTGGGAGTAACGTTGCGCAAGAGCAAGTTAAGTAATGAAAGTGAGACAAGCTCAGTGCCATTGGTGCTTATAACACGTATCAACCATCCGAACCTTGCGACAGATAATGAAGGTAATGCTCATTGTTATCTGCTTACCGGGATATTGCGATTTGATGAATCTGGTTTGCGATCTGATGTAGCTGCTCTTGTCGTCTTCCGATCTGCCGGTTTGACTGACGGACTGGATGTCTGGATACTCAAAGTCGAGTGTGAGGTCCTCCTCTTCGACGATATTGGGCTCCGTTGTCCTTGTAATCCTGCTGTACTTTCTCTCTTGCGCGATCTCATTGCGAGTCATGTATTCGACATTACTGACCGCCGAAGTCTCACCAATCCTCTCCAGGCTATGATACCGCTCGTTCAGTTTGGACGAGGACAGCCCAAGATTAGCGAGCTTCACTGGCGAAGGTACGACTTCCGGTTGAAGTAAGTTGTCCAAGCTTCGGCTGCGCTGCTTCTCCTTTTCAAAGTATCGGTCGTTCAAGGCGGATTTCCTCGACAACCCTGTCTCCATTGTGGTCTCTAAAATAACCTCGTGCGATTGCTTTCGTACCTACATGTGGAGAATATTACATTTTTAAACAAACCTGATATAAGAAAATAGTAGATATGAGGTTAACACGCGTTAATTGTTGGTCAATTGGCTTTCATCTATGAGAAAAAGAATTAAAACATAGAAATTTCATCAATTCATCAGACTAATACATACGGGTGGTTTTGCAACAGGTGGTTGTGGCGGAGGGACAATCGGTCGCCTAGGTGTCTGAATTTCTGGTTCAACAGGCTTATCGACTACTTTTGGCACTGATTTTCTTTCCAGAGGTTGGAAGGTCTTTAGGACAGGGATTTCCATCTCTTGTTCCAATTCCCGAATTACCTGGGCGTGCTGAAGAAAGATGTGTCTTCATTATATTGTATATTTTTTCTCTACTGCATTTTCTGATTCTTGAAATTAATGTCTTCCACAAGACTCTTTTATCATTCAAAGTTAACATCGAAATTGTCTCACTTCTCGTTTCTTTATAGGCGGCAGGCTGTTCTTGCGTTGCTCCAAAAACATGTGCTTAGCAGCTGGGAAAGCCGGCGCCAATTCCATCTCCGAGATCAAATCTAGAACGTAATCGAAGCCATTGGTCTCCGTCACGATGGCGTCTGGACCGTCCAGTTGATTCCAGAGCGTGATCGTCCAGCCGTTGTTTTCCACCCCGTGATTCTGTATCGCGAGATTAGCCAATTCTTCGCATGTCGTCCAAGAATCAATCGCGCAGGTAGTTGTCTCGCCTGTAAAGTCAAGAACAACCGTTACATTGGACTTTTCGTTATGGGGTACTTTGTCATTGGGAATTCGGGAAAACCTTACCGTCGTAGAAGCCAACATTCAACGCTATATTTACACGATTCCTGTTGGCTCGCCATTCTAGCACACACGGTGGGTAATTCCTGGGTACTTGGTGCACTGTTTGCTGATTATTATTCATCACACGGTACACCGTTCTTTCACCTTGCAGCAACTTGCGTTGGCAGTACGCTTTGTAGCCGTCGTAGGCGTGATCCGAGACGTACCTGATTGCAGAATTTTAATTAGAAACAATCTCGCGGTGACGCATTCGCGTCCGATAAACGAGGACACTTACTTGAGAAGATACTTGAAGAGGGTAGCACTAGGCTGGAAGGCTGACAAGCAATTGGACAGCAGCAGCCATCCTCTTTCCTTGTTAGCGTCGTTCTCGTTTTTCCAGGTCTGATTTGCTAATTGGCACAATATCTCGTCCCTCAGCTTCTCATTCACGATGCCCTTGTTAACAATATAGTCGCCCAATGCCTGCTCTCGCTTACCGCTGAGATTGTTCTCGTTCATGAAGCGTAAGATCATCTTGAAAATCATCAGGGAGTCCGTGTAATCCTGATCACGAGCCTTTGCTAGGAAAGGCGTCTTAATTGGCTCCCGCTTCATCCCGAAGATGTGACTCTTGAAGTAAATGTTCGTAAACTTTGAGAACTGATACTGGTCGATGTCAGATGGCAAGTTGTAATTGTAATTCATCGGGACGACTTGACCGACGACCTTAAGGAGGTTTCGTTCAGAGTGCGTAGGCTGCCAATCTGAAAGTTACAAGTAAGTCCAATGGATGTTGAATGCTATCTACAAAACTAAGAGAGAGAGAGAGAGAGAGAGAGAGAGAGAGAGAGAGAGAGAAAGACAGAGAGAGACAGAGAGAGAGAGAGAGAGAGAGAGAGAGAGAGAGAGAAACAGATATGAGAATCAAAAATTCCAACATTAGAATTTGCAACGTCTTCGTATCTTTTAAGCATCTCCGCGTCCGTTCGATAAAAACATACCATCGAGTTTACTGTAGATAAAGGCTAATTCTGCGGGAATTTCCAAGTGGTTTACACCAGCAACAGCTCGCGACGTTCTCTCTTGCTCCTCTCGTTGCTGTTTTGCCTTCGCGCGCTCCTTACTGGCTCGTTCGATTTCCGCTCTCTTCGTCATCTCTTCCTTCAACACCTTGAATCTGTCTCGCTGCTTCCTACCGCGGTACAACTTCTGCGCCATCAGGACACCCTTTTTCATCGCGCGGAACTGCTTCCGCTCGCGATAGCCACGATACACAGCTTGTATCAGCACCGTGCTGCGGGAGATGTTGAGGAATCTTCTGCGTGCCAAGAAGCCTCTCGTATATCTTTGAACCGTGATGGCTGCTCTCTCCAGAATCAACGCTCTGTTGTACTCCAAGGCTCTCTCCAACGACTCCCGTAGGAATACCCTGGTGAGCCCGAGCTGATACTGCGATTGAGCCTCCTTTGGCGCCGCTTTACTCAAAATAATCCTGCAGAGCTCCTTGTTAGGCGCCCCCCTCGGCAAATGCGTCGAGACAAGGTATCGGTACCGGTCCACAAAATGTCCGAACAAAAGACGTACCGGGTAGCCGGTTTTCCTGATGCGGATCGTCTCCAACATTCCCGTATATCTCAGTTGCTCAAGCACGCACGGCATGTCGAACTTCATCGGAGCTTTCTCCGTGTTCGGCTTGATGCAGCGGACAAACCACGGGTTGCACTGGGACATGGAATCTAGGAGCTGCTGGAGACTGTCATGAAACCGTGCCGAAACGGTCGGTGTCCTCGGCTTCATCGTGACGAATCTGCCATTCGGCTTGTTCATCGTCTTATTAGCCTCATGAGTAGTTCTCACGTGCTGGAACATCTTACTGACCATCGAGATCTTGCTGCTGATCAGCAACTCGACAACATCCGGCCTCAAGGTGTCCCTGTTCTTATCCAAAAAGCCCTCCACGTTGTACCAGACCTGGCCAGCGTAATGTCGGATTGCAAACTCCGCCGAGCTCATTCTAGGCCTCGAATAGAGTTCGCTTAGCGCGTGATTGTAATGGCACTTCTCCAGGAAGGAAAGATCCGTCGCCTTGGGGAAGTTGCTCTCGTCGTCCAGCAGATGAAGAATGCCCACCGGTTTCTTCGCTATCAAGTGAATAACCGGCAAATTGTCCGTGTAATTGATGGTGGTCCAGTCGATCTTCTCCTTGGCGTATTCCTGCTGCTCCAGCTTGAAGATGTGCTTGTTGAAGTAGAACTGCAGGTTCTCGTTCGCGTAGTTGATGCACAGCTGCTCGAAACTGTTCTCCGTGAAATTCTCGAAGCCGAAGATGTCGAGGATCGAGATGGCCGCTGTCTGCTTCGTGCCCTTGTAGACGATGTGGTTGACGCGCGCTACCAGCCACGAAAATAGCGAGCTGTACAGAGCTTTCGCGAAGGCGTCTCTGGCGTCGAGAGCCTGGTCAATGTTCAAAGCTGTAAAGACTCGCTCGTTCCTCGCTTCCTGCGGCAATAAGCAAGAGAATTTATGTCTCGTGCTGTTAATTTAAGCCACGAGAGCCTAAGAATCCAATATCCAATAGAGGAATCCGACAAACATTCAGAAGACGTATGACGTAAAACGTTCTTCTCTTAACAACCTCTACGATGTTCCTCGCGCTGACTGGATGGAAACTCACCGTTGTCTTCGTAGTTAGCGCTCGGATGATGCCATCGGAATTTACTTGAAGGAGGTGCGCCGCCCAGCGTATTTCAGCGTCGGAACCGACTTCCACTCCTTCCTGACCGTGCCTCATTTGCTTCCGGTGAAAGTACACGTTACCCAAGTGCAGTACACTGGCTAGAATCTTAAAGATGGTGTCCTGCTCCTCGGACGTGAAGCCTAGGACTTGCATGGCCGATAGTAGCGCCTTGAAATCCTGAACGTCGCTTTTGCCGTCGATCTCGCAGTTTCCACCCTGAGAAACGAACACGAAACATTCTTGTCAATGTAATTACGTGATCGAGCATTTTCCTCCTTTTCTGAACAGCGAAGATACATGGTCTTTGCATACCTGATTCAGATAAAAATACTTGTCCGGCGTAAGAAGACCGTATTTATCCCTGAGTTGTTGGTCAAGCCCAGCTAGAAGTTCATAGAACACGTGGTAGTTCCTCTCCTCCGAAGCTTGAGTTACTATTCTACTCTTTTCTAGCAGATATTGCGTTATCCTACCACCTATGATCGCACCGCTAGTAAATAAAGAAAAATTACTTGAAGTTTCCATAATCGTGACGAGCGAAACTGTGACGTGTGAACGTTCGCTTTTTCCCTCTTAACGTTACTTACTCTCTGAAGTGAACCTCCAAGTACTTTCCAAAGCGGCTGCTGTTGTCGTTCCGCGGCGTTTTAGCGTTCCCGAAGCTCTCGAGGAGCGGCGTCGCTTCCAGTATTTGCTCGGTGACCAGATTATTCGGCGCGCGATTGACCGCCGCGAGATATTGCATCACTAGTTTCGTAGATTCCGTCTTTCCCGAGCCAGACTCGCCGGAAATGACGACCACCTGATTGGCACTGGAATTGTTGGCCGCAGTCACCTGGCTGTACGCGGATGAGCCCACGGCGAATAAATGCCTGCGGAAGATTTGCACATGAAATTATATCCGGATTTACACGCAAAAAAATGATTTAGCGATATTAGCTAAATGTCGGTAGCTAGTTCGAATTTAGCTGTTTTACTGTCATTGCTAAAAATTGGTTATCGAAGGTAAAATGTATTCATTACAAAGTACAACTTTATTATTTAAAATCGAAAGCGCACCTTAGCATGAGTAGTTAAGAAAGTTGCAGCTATTGGTTACCTAAAATTGATGGTTAAAGTAGCTAAAACTGCTAAACACGAATAACGAAGAATATATAATTTTGGTTAAAATTCTTAGCTTTATACTGCAAATATTATTATATTCTATTGCGAAGAATATGGTAGCATAGTGGATTCAGCTACATGTCATTTGTTTCTAGCAGCTAATATTTCTTGCTGCAACGAATAAGTTTGAAGAGCTAATAAATTTAGGTTCGATAGCAACGACATCAGCTGTCCCTATTTCAAAGATACGTCTTAGCTATCGCAGCTATATTTTAGCTCCTTCGGCTAATCCTTTTTTTGCGTGTAGACACAAAGTGATCACAATGCAAGCTGATCTTTGCGGGCTTTGCTTAAGTTACATAAAATATGAATTATTAAAACATGAAAGAGTTGGTACTGACGGTGGAAGTGTCCCAAGGATCCGCCCTTCGTAGAGCTTCACTTGATCCAATCCGTAAATATCGAACATTTTGTACGGATTCACCGCGACCAGGATACTTCCTGTGTATGTCTGCGAATGCATCATAAGTAATTAATAGGTATCAGTTGTTAATGACTAAATAGTGTCAAATAAGATAACGCGGAAGAGACGTACATAAATTAATTCTTTGTCGTAACGAATCTTCAAGTTCCACAATAACGATGCCTCGTTCAAGTCCCTAGAAAATTTAATCGGACTGTTAGAAAAAAAGAAATACCGGTCATAATCACTGGATTTGATGGGCAGTAATGGCGAAACTCACGTCAACTGAATCATATCTTCCACCCCATTTTGACCCAAGTCCTGCCTGGGCTTGACTCCGTTTAGGTTGGTAAGAGTGAAGACTTGCGGCTTAAATACATAATTGCAGCCAATTATTCGCCGCGTTTCTGCACGAAGATCTGCCTCAGTAATATGCATTCGCGTAATTTTTGCGAATCTGCGATCACGCTCGACGACACTCGCTATTTGCAATTTTTGACAGCAGAGAAGGATTTACGGGCGAACCCTTAAAAACGTAACTTTCCATCTGCGATATAAAATTCGCGATCATTTTTGCCGCGTTTCTTCGACGTGGCCTGTGAGGAGAATGTCCGACAAAAAAAGGAGGATTCGTGCGAATTCACATAAGACGCGCGAGAGAGCCACTCACGTGAGACCTAACCGGATACCGGACCGTCTGAGTTTGCAGCTGTAATTCCATTGGCGTCGGTGACAATACGTTGTTTATGACGGATTAGTGAGACACTTTATTTTCTCGTTATTATTTATTTTCTTACTTTACCTCTTTCCCGTTTTATTGCTTCTTACAAGAGAGAAAACGGTCATGATAAATCCTAGAAAGCTGCATAAATATAATCTATAAATACAATACTGACCCTACACTGATAGAAAAATATAGTTGAATTAACTATAATCTCACTATATTTTATAGTTCATTTTGGCGTCAACCATATTTTTATAGTTCGTGGAACCTGCAGAATATAGTAGAATAAACACAAATATATAGTCAATGATTGTCTGAAATAATTGTTTAGTTACTTTTACCACATATATGGAAATTTCTCATTCACAAATATAGTGAGATTTAATATTCATATAGTTACATCTGTCATCATTTAGCAAATATTCTGACAATATTGACTATATAAAAGAGTTACTTTATCTACCATTTTATATTTGTATCCATACAATAATTTTAGTTTAACTTACTATAACACTTAGTGAAAATATTATATGGTTGGTTATACTATGCCTATATCGTAATTATTACCGATATTATGGTAATACTTACTATAAATATGATATTTCGGACTATAATTTAGTATTACTATATCATTGTAGTTCCAAGTATCATATACTTTTCTCTCAGTTCTCTCAAGATCGCTAATACACTCGTACTCTAAAATATTTGAATTGTGATAAACAATTATAAATCAAGATGTGGGGAGCAAAAAATGTACACTTGCGCACATATGTATCTTAAAGAGTTACATATCTGAATTGTTGTAATTGACTCTAAAAAATTGTTATTACGGATAATTGTTACAAAGATTGGGGGATATCGCTTCTAAAAGAAAAAAAATAAGTTAAACCAATTGTTATTCAAGGAAATAATTTTTTTTACGTTACTTAAGATAGGGGAGAGTGGGTAACTTTAAGACTACCAGCGCGTATCCGTGTGAACTAATTTTCCCGCTACAGGACTAAAAATAAGTCGATGTATAGAATTCCGCAAAATCACCCTGAGCATTAAATTATTCAGGCGTTATTCTAAGAACGACCGCTGCGTTTTACGCCAATGTGCGCCGTCATCTATAATGGGACACCGGTGAAGTGCAGTGCTGCAACTAGTGCACGACAATACGTACGGGGAGCACAAAGCAGACGGGCAAGAAAACTCCGCGTTGCTAAATGGCCTGCGGTAGGTGTCGGTTGCATAATGACACGGTTGCCTCGTATTAATGGAAATTACGTTAACGATGCGTGTGAATAATCGCCTGTCTCTCACTTCACCGTGAGATGTTCGTGGTTCGTGGTGGTTTCTTTAAATTCTAGAGACGCCCGCGCCGCGGGAGGATCGATGACCAACAATGGCAACAATTCACGGCGCGGGAGCACGAACTTGAAATTCGCACGGACGCGAAGGACAGAGAGAAGGCGAAAAAGGTGGAAACCAGATTGAAACGGACGCGAGCGCGACGTGAGAGTTGTGGTTCTCGTTCTTGTTTAATGGATCATTCAAATGCACCGGGTGTCCTCTAATGGTCGCTTCGAAAGTGGAGCGCGACATTTCCCTCGCCAAAACGGAATAACCTTTACCTCCTGCAAAAATTCGAACAACGCACCGTGTGTCGGTTATTCGAGTCTTCGGCGAACGAGAAGTGATTTGATCCATCAGAGACAGAGCAGTGCTAAAAGACCGCCATGACATTCCGCGATCAAATGTCATTGGCTAATTGGTGCTCACTGAAACGCAGAATAATTAACAAATGATGTCTCATTGAAGTTTTTACGAAAAGAAACTTGTTCCGTTTTACTTCGGAATTTCTACAATCTACCTTGTCATTGCGGTCATTGCGAGACACCGTGTATAAGGTCGCTAGAAAGTCGAGAACTAACCGGCAAATTGCTCAAATATCACGCGTATTCATGCCATTTCTGTTTGTTTTGACTTTTGTTTGCAATGAAGCACCCGAACAGCCATTGTCCAAATTAAATCGAGGTTAAGCGCTGGCATTGCGTGTGTGTATGCGAACATTAAAATATAACGTAGAAATTGATAAATATATTCAGAGGACGAAATGTTTCAGCAGCTAAAATTAGAAATGCGACATTTATGCAAACATTTGGACAAGAAGACAGTGTCAAGTAGCCAAGTCGTCTGCATAGTCGTCGTCCTCAGAAAATGCGGAATAACCGGTTGACCGCTACGCGGTCTCGACATAGTTGTATGTTGACGAATAGAAGGGACCACGTTTGCACCTACGTTTAAACGTACGCCTGGCCTGTCCGCCTCTCTTCTGGTCAGCGCTTTTTCACCCGCTGCCCGGTTTATTATACGCGGTCAATCTGCAGGCGATTAAACGCTTTCTATCGAGACTGTCTTACCTTGCCGGCGATAACCGCTTGCACCGAAAGTACATTGGCAGCTCGGTGGTATTCCAGCACCTCGCCTGGCAGCACGTGGCCGACACCAGGGTCGAACCACACCAATTCACCCTGCAAGTAATATGATCGTGTTTGAAATGACTGATCGTCGAGTGACGTTGACAATCGGGGCCAATTTCTTAGCTACTTGTTGGAACAAAAATTGCTAAACGCATATTCTCTATATTTCGTGTTTCGAATAACATAGGAAAAATTGTGGTATAGATAGTCTTCCAAGTGTCTTCAAATTAACCCACATTTGTTCGGAAGATATCAAGTCTTTCTATGGATTCTAAATTTCAGGGGAACGAATGTGTTTTCCAGTAGATTGCAATACTGTTTGCGACTTTCGGATATTCAAACCGTTCTCAAGTTCCACGATGGGGAGCTGCGCGACACGGAGGACGCCTGCGCCTTCCTCTTCCCGGTACAGAAGCCGAATATCGACGATGACGTCGCCGGGGAGCAAGATCGAACGCTGTTAGCGTCGCTGAAGGCTCTGACGTGCGTCGGGACGCGCGTCGCCGTCTTCTTCACATAATTCGACCTCTCTTTGGTCTGCTTCGTCAATAATCCCGCGTTCGAAGCTCTTCGTGGCTCGTTCGCGTCCTTGGTCGACAGCACCGTCGACGTCTTCCTGCCTATTTTCACGTAGCTCGGCAGCGTCGTCGGTCTGACTGCTGCTTTTGGCATTTCCTTTTGACTCTCCATCATCAATCCACTCTGCGACTTCGATCTGCACCTCACTTGCTTCTCATTGTTCGTTGACGTGAAGTCCGCCCGGGGATACTTGTTGCGAGACCAAGAGTCCGTTCTTGAGTCTCTTCGCGCTCTGGGCTCGAGTGAACCCACTCGAGAAGACGCATTCGTACTTCCTGAGTCGTGTTTCCGCACCTTGAAGTTACGCACTCGCTCGAAGTCCGCCTTGCAGACCAATATGGCGTCGTGCTTCACCTGGACTACGTCTTGGTCCCGATCTTGGTGCATCCTGCGCTCGAAGGAATCCGTATGAGCCACGTTGCCAATTATCCTCCGCCTGGACATCGTTTTATCGGCCGACTCTTGCTTCTCCTCATGCTCTTGAGACGCCTGCTTGGAGACCTTGCGCGTGACCTTCGCGTAAATGATGTCGTCAGCACTGGCGTCATCGTTAGGATACTTGAATCGGCCAAGTGGGTCAGGAACAGGATCCCGCAAGTGCCTGACGACTTTCGACGTCTCCGCGCGCTCGCCACTCGTCCTCGTCCTGGAGAACCTCGTTAGGCTGCTGAAGGAAGCCGCGGATTCGCGCAGGGACGTGGCGCCGGTTGGCAACGACATTTTTCGCCGGCGTATCCTGCCGTAGATCGGCGCCTCTCTGCTGGCAGGCTCTCTCGTCCTCGAAGTGGCGTACTCGTCCAGCCGAGTGGACCTCGAAGAGTGCACAATTTTCGGCAAGGTCGACGGCCGCTGGAGATCGTGATCCTCCTTGGTCCAGCGAGTCGGATTCTGCAGGTTATCAGACATCCTCGTCACGTTCTTCGACTGCGGATTCGCTTCGGCGCTTGCACGTCGCCGCAGGATATCCTGCCTGGAGACTCTCTTCAGGAACGAAGAAGTGTGCTCGGCGTCTTGGCGAGGTCTCCTCCTGCTTACCGACGGCAGAGTCCTCGGTCTCTCCCTGTTCGCGGGTCCGAGCGGGAGCTCAGCCTCGTCCTTCACGCACCTGCGTCGCAGGATCTCTTTCCTGGAGACCGCCAGGCCGCGCGGCACCGTGTGAAAAAGCTCCCGATCGCCGGTCGCTGCAGCCCGCCGGTCCTTCGGCTCCTGCGGCGGTCGGGCGGAAATCCGGTATTGCCTGCTGCTCCTGGCTGCTTCCGGCGCGCCGCAGGAATCCGGGGCGGAATTCGAATCTGGGTCTGGGCCGCTGCCACTCGCATTATGCAACGCTCGTCCGCCGCGGCCGGATAACGGTTCCGCGCTCGCGTAGAAAGCTTCCGAGGAGCGTGGCGAAAAGTGACTCCGCGAGGTCGACGATCGACCCACGGACCAGCGCCGTTGCTGCTGCCTCGTGGCCGATCCTGCCGGATCCGTGTGAGCCATCGCTGGCGAGAGTATCGGCGACCGGCCGAGCGCTTCATCTGCAAGGCATGCCGCTCGCCGCTTACCTGGCCGTCGTGATTTCTCTCTTGGCGAATCTCCTTGCCGTTAATGTCCGCGCCTTACTGCACACACTCTAACGCATCGTGTGCCGATCTGAGCGAGGTCCTCGCTTTCCGTTAGCCGCACAGCACTCGGCCAGCTCGGATCGTCACCGGGCGCCGATGAAAATCGGATTGATCCGCGGGTCAATGGCGAGGACTACGGTTAAAAGCACGATCGGTTTCTCTTGAGCGTGTCCCATACGGGCGCGACAAGTACCTACGTGTTTATCTTCGCGTACATCCGTCATACGTACATCAATGACGCGGCATTAGCAGCGCGTTACACGACGCGGCGATGTGTGTGTGTATGTGTGTGTGTGTATGAGTGCGCCCGAACACACAATCTCGATTTCTATGGGTTATAATCGTGGAAATGCGAGAGAGGGGCACGCTCGTGTGTGGGTCTTTACGCGAGGATGAGTGTGTGTTTATCCTCAGTCTTGCAATCACTCCTGCGGCACGTGACACAGGTATATTTCTCCGTTTTCCTTTTATAAATATCGGCCGCAACGCGACTGCGCTTTCCTCCGTTTACGGCGATGTTGAGTGTGTTTCGATTGCATTTTTCAAGCTCGCTCGATTTACATAATAGCCTCTTCGTGGGAGACGAATGCATGCAACGTTTCAGGTCAATGCCCGCCGTACAACTCTCTCGGATGCACCCGAGTATTGAACACACGCGACACATATCTTTCACTCGTCGCGAGATGCGATCGCTCACGTAAGGCTGCGATTAACCACTCGGAAAGTGCGGAAAATTCCAGCTCATCGATTTTTCTGTACAGAAAAAAGTATTAAGTGCCCCTTTATGAGGGCTCCCTACAGTTCCTCATGATTATACGGAATTTTTCAACACAACACACACGAGAGTAATTAATACAGCCAGCCCTGCATTAATATCGATGTTGCACTGATTATTTTTACTCTTACGAGTCTCATGGAGTATTTGTGTTGTTTATTAAATTAAACTTAGTTTCTTGTACGTGCAACACACACACACACACACACACATACACACGGCTTCAACACCGTTTGTTGCACCAGACTGAACTAAGTAAACGGACACAGCGAGGCTCCGTAACCGCTCACGAAGTCGTAATTCGCGGCCGATGAATCCATGTTCTTCCTCCGTTTGTAATTGAGTACCGCGATGGAGTCATCGCATATCCCGGTCTCGACTCTCGCTCGTTCATCCAAGCTGCCAGTTGCTCTACATCTATCGGCTCCCGATGTGCATCCTTGCGTTTGTCGCTCGACGTTCCCTTCGAGTTCCAGATCTATTTGCAGCAGCCGCTCGCGATTGTGGGTCTTATCGCAGAATTTCGTCACGATCGCGACCGCGACCTAAGTCGCTGAATGGGACCCGCGTCGTCGTGCATGCTGAATTCGGCCAAAGGAAGTTAGGAGGCCACACGAACTTCCATCGGGCTCATTGGGTCAGTTGGCAAAAATCCGTGCTGCACATGCGGAATTCGCTAACGGTCACCACGACGTTGTCGTCCCTAGTCCCGCCGATACTTTTCTCCGTCATCTTTGAACTCACACCTCCCCCCACCTTCCCGAAAAAAAAAGAACCGACGCTTTCGCCGAGGTGGCTTCTTCCACGGGGAAAGCACCTTCCTTCTCGAGGCTGAAGATGATAGCGCGATGCGGACTCTAGGATGTTCGACGCGGCACTGGAAGTTGCGGGCCTTCCTCTCCGCAACAATTGCCTCGCGTATGCAGTGGCGTATGCGTTTTTAATTGAGACGAACTAATTAGGCCGTGCCACGAAAGCGGCCCACATTTTTCACCAAATGTACCACACGGATCATCACCTGATCGCGTTTCACCGCTGTCCCCTTGCCCGGTCATCATCACGTCCTCTTTGTCAACACTTTGTAGGCGGACTTGCCAGTGTACTCGCCTGCGAGTCCTGAACAAGATGAAATCATACACTACCGACGCCAGTGGATCGAAACGCTTTGGGGTGGAACCAAGCGTGCCTTTCTTCTTATATAAATTACGCGCTAAATACGCGCGCGCACGCCCGCGTACATGCACATAACGTACGTTGGATATGGGCAGCAGTAGCTAGAAGCGAAGGGAAGCGATTCTGCCTAGCGGCCGTGGCGAGTTGCAGAAGAGAGATAGAAATTGTCGATTGTGGCGCGCGATGAGCGCAATCTCGAAATGGGACGCGCGATTATCTCTCTCTCTCTCTCTCTCTCTCTCTCTCGTTTTTATTCCTTCCCGGCTGGATCGGCTTGCGACGGCCACATTTTTCACATTCTTCGCCTACGAGATTGACCCTTCATCGCTCATTTTCTTTACCAAATGAATCCTTAATCCTTCGACCAATACGAAGACGTGATTTTTCTTCGTCAGAAAAGAGTGCATGAATTATTTCTTATATATATTATATATATTTCTTTTGTTGAGTATAAATGGCAGCCCCGAGCGCGAGCAACAAGAGAAGAATGGATCCACTCGTTAAATTCGTAAGCTTCATACCTTTATTTTCGATAATATCAGTTATTTAATATTCATTTTGTTAATACCCCACGCTTGCACCGAATGTTTCCTCAATTATTGCGCTGCTCGTTATATGCTGTTGGATGCACGGGAAGCAAAGTAAAAGTGAGAAGCCGCTACTTGTCTAGCGCTCGCAATGCATCTGCATTCCTAACGCGTTCACTCAATTAAATTTTCCAATGTGCCTTTTATTGCTTACATATATATATATATATATATATATTCTGAGCAAAAAAATTCTTTCCATTTCGTCGCAATAAGTACGCAAATTTTTAAGTTGTCAATTAAAAGATCCTCTAGATGTGATCATTTTTAATCAATTAATAACTTATTAACTATTGCGATTTTTACAAAATAGTACATGACTTTTCTTTTCTGTTTCTTTTCAGTTTAATCTAATTAATCTTCACAATTTTTCGTTTGCTAAAAATCTCGAACATCCTATATATATGTGTATGTCTAGCGATAGATATGAGTATATTGAACCTTGAACCCTAAATCTTGAACTTGTCGTTAGGCCGTTATATAATTAGGTCATTCTTGACAAAAATTTTCTTTACCATTTTGCAAATAAGTACTCAAATTTTTAAGTTATCAAAAGAACTTCTAGATGTGGTCATTTTCAGTGATTTTTATAAAATAGTACTTTTCCTCTCTCAGCTTGATCTGATTAATCTTCACAATTTTTCGTTTCCAAAAGACCCCGGACACTCTGTATACACATACAGGTGTTTATAAAGAGGATTCAGGACTTTAAGGGCAGATAGCGCTCATAAAATGAAAGAAAAAAATTCCTAATAAACATGGGTCGAAAAATTAATATTGCCGGAATTATAAACAACTTTCTTTTCCTCCATTTTATGGATACCATCTGCCCTTAAAGTTCTGAACCCTTTTTTTAAACACTCCGCATAGAGCCGCCATGAGACATTAATTTATAAAATCGATATTATGTTAAGTATTAAAAACGGCCAAGTTGATTTTTCAAAGAAATCAAAGATTTCAAAGATTTTCAAAGATTTTGTATTTGCATGTTCTTGGACTCAATTATTTCGGAAACGGATTTGTTAAATTTGTAAAAGAGTCAGTTTTGTTTTTTTCATTTAAGTTTTTAGTTATGTTGAAAGTACATGATTATATGCTTAGATGGTCAGTATTGTCTACCTAATATTGATTTAATTTAATACTGTTTTACTAGAGTAAAAAGCTTCTTTTGCATTTTTCAACGGTGATGATTGTTTATTGAACTGACCGTGTGTTTTCTAGTCTCGTTTCGCAAAGTCGACGAAGATCGATCGGCACGTTGATCGATCTTCGGCTAGCAACGGAAGACGTCGGACGAGGCGTTCGAAAGTGATCGCTACGGGCAGCAACGCAATTGCATGTGCGTAGATCATTGACTCCGACCACGCAACAATCCCTTCGCGATCATAACTATGTAAACATTGCGTAACGCCGTGAAAATCGACAAATTATTGTCCTGTGGTCCATGTATTGAGAAATCGCAACGTTAAGCAACAACAAGCAATAAAGAAGCTTAAGAAGAGATGATATTTTCGTTCTTTCACGCCAACTTCTTCGCTATAACTTTTTTGAATCAGAAATATTTTCTTTTCACTTGTGGTATCATCAAAGAACATTTCAATTACTAGAAAATCAATTAAAAATGATAAATGTTATTAGCAGGATATTACCAGCAAGTTTTTTTATAGCAAAATACCCAGTTACTTCGAGTAGCTGAGTAATATTCGTGAATTTTAATACTGAATAGATATACTTGAATGCTCTGCTTAGCTTAGATAGAAGTAACATGAACTCACCTTTTGCCACTCGGTATACATCTTGAAGCGACGTTAAATCGACTTCCGTGTGAAAGTATCCGGCATTTTGTACAATCGGTTTGTTCTGAAACAGAAAGAAGTTCGACTGACTATCATTCGAATAAGACAAACGTCGAAATTACTGTCGACTTTTCACTTTCAGTTTATTTTATGCGCAATATTGAAAATAAATTGTTTATCAATTCTTCATGCCGAAGTCTCTGAAGAAAAGATATATGCCGATCGCATATAACGGAAGCACCGGAACCCGCAACCAATTGTTCTTCGCGATTGTCCCGCGACTTCCGGTACAGTCGGAAGAATATCGATGATTCACTTCTCAAGTTCTCGTTATAACGACACATATCTGTACATATATATTTATTTATTTATGCCTAATCGTGACATAAGTGAGAAAATCTTCGAATTGAAACTCACATCGAAGCTCCATTGCAAAGATGAGGAAATATTAAATATTACAAAGATTAATAGTATAATTCAGCTAACTATGTCTGGCACATATGATACTGTTATTCTATCCTGTATTTGAAGAAACATTAGCGCGCGAGCGTACTTTGATATCGATCATAATTGCATGTTCGGAAATATGGGAAGTGTCGCAACAACTATTTAACTTCGCAAGATCGCGATATATACACTTAACCACGCGTGTATCTATACTTCTATGACATGTACGAGATATCTATATACATGATATATACTTTCCATGACACCATTCTATTGTCCTAAACTACGTGAAAAGAAATGTACTTGTTCTAATGCATATCTAAAGATAAACCGCGCAATGATTAAATAATGACACGTCGTTACCCTGTGGGATATCACGCGAATCTTATTATTTATGTTATTTGTATTACTTAATAATTAATGTGGCATAGCCTTAATTTATAAATATCACATTTATATACATATATAATTTTTTCATTATTATTGATATCAGTTAGCATCACACGCGGTTTCTTTATTCATTGGTTACTTTTTTACATTTCTATCATTCTATCATTTCTTTAATTGCTGTAATCTTTCTCAGGTATTGCGTTTAAAATTTATTTATTTTCGGACTTAAACCAAACTTTATATTAGTTGGTATCATATAATTTCTTTATTAATTGGTTACTTTTTGTATTTCTATCACAACCACTGTAGTTTTTTTCAGATACTGCATCTAAAATATATTTATTATCAGACCTAAATCAAATTTTCTATCAGTTGGTACCACATAGTCTCTTTATTAATTGGTTACTTTTTTTATGTTTCCATCATGACTATTGTAATTTTTTTCAGATATTGCATCTAAAATATATTTATTACCAGACCTAAACCAAATTTTCTATCAGTTGATATCACACAGTTTCTTTATTAATTGGTTACTTTTTTATGTTTCTATCATGACCACTGTAATTTTTTTCAGATATTGCATCTAAAATATATTTATTACCAGACCTAAACCAAACTTTATATTAGTTTGTATCACACAGTTACTTTATTAGTTGGTTACTTTTTATATTTCTATCATAACCGCTGTAATTTTTTTCAAGTATCCAAAACGTTTTTTTAATTTATTGTCAGATTTAAACCAGACTTTAGAATTATTATATTCCATGCCTGCAGAATCTGAAGAAGCAGCTCCATAAAGCCATTACTTAAAAGCCGGCCCTGCACATTGCAATGTGTGAGTAGACGTGTACCCGCGCACATCGAACACTGCTGTGCTCGGCGTGGATAAATCTCGCGGATAAACCTTCCAGTAAAAGTAGCAAGCGGCGTCCTTCTCCGCGTACTCACCGCGGAATGCATTTCGCAATTTTATGCTAATTTGGTTAGTCACCCTCGATCTGCGTCGCGCTCGTGAGCACGAGCTAGGAGAACGCGTAGGCCACGTTTGACAGAGAACGAGGAACACGAGGAGACAATGGCGACGGCGGGCGATTTGGCCTTTCGACATCACCGATTGTTCATTGTCCGTTTCAACGATGTCTCCTATCATCGGCTTCCTCGGCGATTCGACTTACCGGAAAGCGAAGAAATGGCTGACCGGTTTTGCCGACGCATTATCTGTGCGTGCCGTGCGTCATCCTCGCCTTCTGACAGAACGAAAGGTATTTAACACCAAACACGAATCACGCACAAGAGATACTGACTTGTTCCTCATGCCGAGGATTAAGTCAGATCAAAACATTCAAATTGAAAACATCGCAACGTCGCACTCTAGACTACTCGATCAATACCAGCTACTCGGAACAAGACCTTTAGTAAAAAGAAAAGAAATTTTCAAACGGTTCGACTGCAGTGTCAGGATAGAATTATAGAAGATTCTGCGAAAGAGAGTTGCTTTAGAAGTTAGTCGCATGTCAGGCAAAATCACGCGTGATTTATGCAGCTTTTGAAATACAACTAGCAATGCCTCATCCCTCGGTCCGCTACGAGCTCCTGAACGTCTGAAGGTTAACATATGCACGTAGATTATTTCATTACGCGACTCGCGACGGGAGAAAGAGAGAGAGAGAGAGAGAGAGAGAGAGAGAGAGAGAGAGGCAGATAGAGGGAATGGAACGTAAGATTGCAAGGTACAATAAATATTTTCGTTCTCTCATTCTCTCTCTCTCTCTCTCTCTCTCTCTCTCTCTCTCTCTCTCTCTCTCGGTCTCTTGTTCTCTCCTTCAATAATCCCGCAGCGAGCGTTAATGGCAGCGAGAGAATAGAGGCTCCACGATGCAAGTTATCCAGGTCAGACAGAGAAAGCAGTAGCCCGACTGCGGTGATACAAGGATCTTATGTAATTCATAATCGCACCTCTCTCGTGCCTTTTGAAATAAGAGTTAGCCGGGAGATTAATCACGCGCCATCCTGTCACTTGTGCTTCGTTTCAAAGTCACCGCGATCCAGATTGAGACTGTCCGATCGGCGACGTAGCTGTTTCGAACGGGGCGCGGCCTTTGCGCGAAAAGCAAGCGCGCGACCAGCCCCCTCCGATAGGAAAGCAGCTTTTAGGAAGAACTTTCTCCAGGAGTTTTTATTATCCGTTCCGTATCATTCACAATCGGACTTTCGTGCAACAACACGAGTGGGGCCAGTCGCTCGCGTGCGCGATTCCGCGCGCCGCGTTTCCCCGGATCAATCATTTCCGCCCCGTCATTTTCCATATTAGTAACACTACAATGCCTCTAAAGTGCGAAGTTTACGGCGGTCGAAAATTTCTAACGGTTCTACTGCGCAATCATCAGCCCCTCCCCAACCCCTAGCGGAAATTACTGTACAAGGAAAAAGTGTAGCAAAATCGCTAAACGGGACCTTTCGTACGAGGTTTCTTATAGCCGCGCAAATTCGATACGCTACGCCCGTTGTTTTCAGCTGGAATTTCTGGAACACGAATGAGGCCGATTAACGGGGACGTCGTCTTCCAGCGGTGACAGTCACAGATGGATGCATTGTCCTTGAATACTTTCGCCCGATCGTGCATCGGCCAAGTGTCGCGCGTTACACACTGCGCGCCATTTTAAAGCTGGCCGCGCATGAGCGCGCGTGAACTTTGTCTCGACATTTGCGAAATGGATGGATCCTTCACGGTGTTTGAGCCCCATCGGGTTTCATATCCCGTTGCGTCGTGACATTCCGCAGAAATTTTCAGAACGCGAGTTGTCTTGTTTCCCCTCTGGCGCGAGCTCGATTTGTATCTGTTATGACATTAATCTAACTGTTTCTCGTTACTTCTCGTGCTTCTCATTGCGACCAGCGCTCACCGGTGACACGAGCTCCGAGCTGCAAGGCTAGAATTCAAGCTAAATTTCCCGACTCTCGACTGGTTTGGTAAGGTACTGACGTCTAAGAAGTGTCCGGTCGAGAGTGTTGGCTTAACCTTCGTTCATTCCTCAAAACAGGTACCAGGCGCTCAAGTTTCACGCATTTATTTGGATCAAAAGCACTTGAATGTTACATCCGCTCAGCGAGATGTAAAATCCGCCGGGCGTGTAAGAGCGTACCAGCCGCCCGATAACATCATTAACCTCGCTCAATAAAAGGTAAAAGCTACAGAGTCCATTATAAGCGTCTAATGGATTTGCACTTTCTCAATCTTGCACATTTAACACGAGACACGAGACTCGCTCCCGACGCGATACGCATGACAGACAAGCACAGTGCCATTTTTATCAGCAAACACACCGATCGTTCAATCGAGAGCCGACTCGACGCGTACGAGAAGAACACTGAAAGTTCTCGCATTTTTCAAACTCCCCCTCCCCCTCTCTTTCTCTTTGTCGCAAAGACTTCTTACAAGCGACGGATTTGACGGAGAGCGATCGCAACAATCAATCCCGATCTTGCACTGTCACACGCATCGACGCATCCGTCATGAGCGGAATAACGCGTGAATACACGAAGAGAGAACGTCTTTACGCAACGCGATATCGCCCGTGCGGACATCGATGTCTCCGCGTGGAATCTCCGATATCGCTTGTGCGGGAGAGATCGATCGCGACGCCGTCCACGGCACGACTTTCTTTCAGGCGGCTTCTCACGCTCAGGACTTACCTCTGACGTCGGGGACGTGTCACCGATATTCTGAGAGCGGCCGGAATCCTAAGACGAACCGGTTGGAGCCGATCGTCCGGGAAAGAGACGGATCTTCAGTCAGGGGACGTGGGGTTCACGAGATCTCTCGGCGCGCGGTACAAGGTCGCTGCGGGTCAGCAGCAGCAGCAGCAGCAGCAGCAAGATCGTGCAGCGGCGGTCCACGAGACGAGGAATCACACTTCGCGGTCACACGCTGTTCCGCGAGCCGCTTCGAAATCGCCTACGGATCCGTTCCGTGCGCGCGATTTCAATTTCTCGATTCGAGCGTTGCGGACGATCGAGCAGCAACTGCTTCCACGACGCGATTCCGGATCGTGGTATGCGGCTGCTCGACCTCGCCTAAGAGGAAGATAGTCCCTACTGCCACTATGAGGAGCCACCGTACGCGGCGTGTGTACCGTTACACACGCGCTGAGGTACAGGTGGTATCAGAGCCCACTACTACTTGGGGCCCGCTTGTGATTCGATCGTGGCCGCTGAAAGTTTCGCGATGTGAAACAACCTGTATTAGCTGGAGAGAGACAGCGGCGTATCTACCGTCTGAGAATCCTGCACACAATATTGCATGAGGTTAGTTGCAAATATAAATAAGCAACATGACACGTCGCGTCGCCGCTGAGATTTCGCAGCTATTTTATTATGTACTCGGGAAAGCACCTTGTGGATATGTATCTTTTAAATGTTATATATTGTGTGTAATAATAAAATGGGACATACAATATCGTGGATAAATATAATTAAATGATTCGAGATCGCTATCGTCCCTTTTCCGGTGTAAATACGTACAACAAGTAAATAAAAAATATAAAGAAGGTTCCGAGAATCGGTATTTATGTTGACGCCATAGTTGTGTATATTAATATAATAACGAAATGGTTACGTGATATACACGCTGAATAACAATATCAACGTGAAACATGTTAATTTAATCGTCGACAAACGTATTCAAGGGGGAAGTACCGAGAAGTGGACGCGGAGAAATCTTACGTTTGGCCCACTGAGGATTCCTTAAAATACGCTCCGTTTGGGTCGGCGCGCGTTGCGCGTTTCAAGTGTACGCCACGTTGCAGGTATGTGCAGGTGCGTATTTCTTACCCGCGCATTTCGTTTTCCAAATACGATGCATATAGAATTCACGAAAGGCGGTCAGCAGAACCGCTCAAAGAGGTCATCTATTGACGACGACTATTGTTGCCTGGGTTCGATATAGAACCTCTTTCTATAATTGGCAAAAGCTCCAATGTCGCTCTCGGAGTAACCGAGTTTCGACCACGTGGCAGCGAAACTGACGAAATATCTGATGACGAAAAGAGCGGAGAAGGGGGGAGAGAATTTTTGAGTCCCTTGCTTCGCAGTTCTTATTTGAAATTATTCGACGCGTGAGATATTTATCGCCGAGATTAATTAACTGATCTGGCAAATGTAACGAGCAAGTCGCGGCGCCGTTATTTCTACAGAGACATTCCTGATCATGTGGCGACTAAATTAAATCGAGTCCACTTTACCATGGACGTGATGGGAATGTGGGAAATCGGTAATGGGACATGCGTTCCATTAATTCTATCACGTCAGGATAATAAAAATATGATGGCGTTATTTGCATACTTATATTTAGAGCGTCAAGCTTTAATGAACTTTAATTTTTTGATCAATATATCCGAAGCTAAATTACGATGTTAGATAGCAGAATCGAGAACTGATAACACGATAATTAATGCTTTCAAACACAGGACGATACACGTCAGTTACTTCAATATCGAAAGTTTATTTAGTCCGGGTCATACGCTGTGAGCACTAAGAGAATGAAGAAGGCAAACTGTAAACATACAGGATCCGTAAATCCCAAATTAAATAGGACGTAATGGCTGTTCACACGTACAGAGGAAAACAAAATATGTGAAAACAGAGACGCGATGAATTCTAGTTGAATTAATTTCCTTTCTGTTTCTATATTAAATCCTCTTAAATATTAACATAAATGCTTACAAAGTAATTAAAGTCGATAGTCGATTAATAATTCCAAGATCTAGTCGACGATCACTGATCGACCCCGCGGATTTTATCCACCACTCAGTAATGCGACCGTACCATAATATCGCAAGTATGCGAGCAATGCACTATAGATTTCCATTCACCATCCTTCGATTTCACAAGCGAAGGATACGTGGTAGCCTTCAGCAGCCGGAGCAATTCCTCTGTGGTAGCGATCAGCGATGCGTTTCCCTCTTTGGCAAGAAACGACTTGGCACGCCTTTTAACTTACTTGTACAGGGATTTGTAACGTTTGCTGTCGAAAGAAAAGTCGCTGTACGACGTTGAGCGATAATATACTAGTCCCAATTTCTGAAATGTTGGAAAATTATTATTGGCAATATCGCGAAGGCTGTTATGTACAGTAGATAAGGCAGATTGTACAGATGAACAACAGATGTACGGATGAACATAACGAGAAGGAAAGAGGTTAGAAATTACTATAACTCCGGTGGCGGTAATATATTGTTACTTTACCAGCGAAAGATAAGTAATCTACAGTCACGGTATGCACCTCTTGAGTTGTTGGAAACTCATAGTAACTGTTGATAATACGACAGCATATAATATCCGAAGGTAGGTTTTCTTCGTGATATCATTGAGAATCCGCGAGATGTCACAGAGTGCAGTGGGTAGTGTACTTTTCTGAAAATTGCATCAATCGAATTCATCGTGTGTCGAGTTAGCGTGATTGAACATGCCTTATTTATAATTAAACGGATTAAGTTTCTTATTGCTGTGAGTTTCGTGCATGTAATATACCACGATATATAATGTATTTTGTTAAATTGTCTGTTAAAGTTTTACGTGAAAGAAAGAAGAAACGTCGACATTCTGCTACATCTCTTTTCAAATGCTTTGATGTACACATTTTTTTCATACAGAGGTAACTTTTATCAATTTGAATTTTTAATCTTGATAATAATAATTCTATTCTTAAATTATGAAAAAAAGTTTCTTTCGGCAAAGAGATGTTGAAATTTTATGTAAACAAAATTGAATATCGACATTCTCCTATATTTCTTTTCAAATTCTTTGAAGAGAATTTTCTCTTGTAAATAACTTGTATCGATTTAAATTATCAATTTTGACATAATTCCGTCCTTGACATATTTTTTAATTCTGTTCTGCCAATTGGAATTGTTACTCTGGACATAATACTAAACATAAAATATTTTTTTTCAACAGTTTCGTATTTTATTAAAAATTTTACGTAAACGTAATCGGGGTAAAACGTCATCGAACTCTTGGCAGAATCATCGGTCACGATAAAGGGTGAGATATGATTTTTTATCGGCGGTTTCCAAGTGTTGCGTCCAAGTGGTCGCGGTGGACGAGCATATGTTACTCGAGTGTGCGATAAAATCAACACCGAATTACACTCAGCCAACAAATGATATGAATAAACTCGGCAAACAAAATGATTTACACTTAAAGACGTTGAGCTGAGTTAACCGACATAGGCAACAAATACCTAATAATATTTTATTTCTCAACCAACATGAACTTGATCCTGTCTCAGCATAAAGACGAAATATACTTTTAATCTTCATGGTGAAGATGTTTCGCATATTTTAAACTAACCATATTTTACGCATATTTTAAACTACCATGATGAATGAAACACTTTAATTTCAGCCAGAGCGCAATGGACTCCAAAATTGTCGTGTGATTTGCACTTGACGTAATTCTGTTCTTAAATTATGAAAAAAAATATCTTTCGGCAGAGAGATGATTAAAATTTTATGTAAACAAAATTGAACATCGACATTCTCCTATATTTCTTTTCAAATCCTTCGAAGAGAATCTTCTCTTGTAGATAACTCGTATCGATTTAAATTGTCAATTTTGACATAATTCCATCCCTGACATATTTTTGAATTGGATGCACTTGGATATGCTTTTGGAAGATTAGTCGGAGCGCGGAGTCGGTTACTTCAGAGCGCGATGCTGCAAGGATTATGGAACGTCCCGCAATTATATGAGAGATAGTAATTATTTACGCTACTTTAGTGGCGCGTATCAGGCCGCAAACGCAGCCATTGAAGGCAATGCGAAAATTATAGGGGCTGAACGAGGAGATAGGTGTTGAATGTGTGCTCAGGGCATCGAATAAGGATTTTTCTACGGGAGTGTTCTTGTAATTCCAAGGCGACACGATACTCCCCTTCGATTGATATGGATGAGACGGCTCGACTTTTGATATACGCTCGATTTCAAATGGAAAATCATGCTCGGATTGGATTCGCACGTGAGCTGAAATAAACTTATATCGTCGGGCTACAACCATCGCGCACCGCTAATCTTCTATGCGTGTCGTGTAACATATACATATATACACGCCGGAATTTATGTCGCGATCTTTCCATCGGAGGATATTTTCGGCGCTACAACAAGCGTTGCTTTATTAGTCATCAATTATTATCCTCACTCTGGAGTATAACTCTTCTCTCGCGACATTGCCGTTCACCATCGGTTGTTAATGAGGGCCGCAAATTCACGCATACGGATTGTGTTTGTCGTGTTATCGGGAACTCACGGAGAAGTAAAATAATAAAATTAAGCGAAACACGCGGGGAGCCGCAGAATTTCGAAATTCTTGGACGATGAGAGCGCGCCACTTTTGAAGTTAACCAATTTACTCATCCTCGTCTGTTTTATCTATTTTTCGTTGCGCTCCCACGCGGCCGCTCTCACTTTATCTCAATTTCGTCCCACGACTCGCAAAATTCCTGTAGAATGAATATGCGCGGCAAGTTCGGTATAGAAAAAAAAAAACAGAGAAAGAGAGAGAGGGAGAGAGAGAGAGAGAGAGAGAGAGAGAAAGAGAGAAAGGAGAAGAGCTTCCGACAGAAAGAGAAAAGGGAATTGGAGAAGGACGACAAGCGGGAGGGAGGGCGGCTTGGCCTTTCTGCAAACACTGTAGTCCCTCGCCGCAACTTAAATTGACTCGATAAAAGTTCGCGGAATAAAGCGCCACTATATCAGAAACATCTGCCAAACGTTATTACAACTTTGAATAAAGAACGGCGGCCGAGAGAGGGTGCCGGGGCGAACGGGCGAGCCACCTCCTTGTCGTCCTGCCGACGATGACGAGAGGAGAGGGGAAAAATTCAAAGTTCGCGTTCGGCGAAGACCGTGGGAAAGTTCGTCCGTAAATCAAGTCGTTATTTTAATTTTGTCAGCCTCAAGTTACTCGGCCCGCGTTTCCGCCATTCCTATTCATCTCAGGCTGCCGCCTG